CCCCAAAACCCCAAAACCCCAAAACCCCAAAACCCCAAAACCCCTACCTCTAATCGTACAATTGAAGTTAAATGGTATAACTTTGTAATTCATTAACAGGTAAGAAGGAGCTGTATTATAGTACAAAATACACCGGAAGCTTCATATTCAGTAAAACTTTGTCTTTATTGTAGCTAGAATATTTTTCGTAATGCTTCCTAGCTTCTAAGGATAGCTTAGACTACATCAAATAGCTTTGCTACTCCTTCATGCAACCTATGAGGCTCATTAATTTCATAGTAGAGATGTCTACAGTCCAGATTACTGGATATAAATGAAGAATTTTTAACTATTATTAATAAAATTTAATAATGGAACAGAGTCAAAAATTCAACCAAACTAAAGAAATTTTCCCAAGAGATATTTCAAAGTCTCTAACCGAAGGTATCCCTCAGAAAGCAACCGTTGGCTTCAGTGATGGTCTCAGAGCATTTGAGAAGTCATCGATCACCTGCTTCGCTTTTGACCATGAAAGAGAGAAGGAAGGTTTGCATTTCACTGAGAGTCATCCTATTGAGAAATATTTTAGTGATGAGCATAAAATGAAGTATCTCAGTGAAGCTAAGGTTGCCTTTGATTCCTACCAAAACTACTTTGGCATGCAACAAACAAGTCCTGACTCAAAGTCACTAGATAATGGCTTATTATTTAACTATGACATGATTCTTTCTGAGTATGATAATCCAAATGCATTCAGGAGTGATTTGGACCTCGGAATGATGAAGAATCGACGAACTGTCTCCTCTCCAATTAAGAAAGAGCAGGGGATCAAGTCTCTTGAGATGTCTTTGAAGGAGAAATCTATTATTAAAATCCCAACTTGAGGTATGAAGGTGAAGAGCCAGACAAGTTCTAGTACACCAAGAAGTGTAGATTCAATAAAATTGTCGACATTGCTAAAATTTTTGGCAAAAACTAGGGGAGTCGACAAGTCAATGATCTCTGAAGATATCGTTGATAGGACCATCGAGCTAGGACAGCAAAAGGTTGCGGAACAACTTCAAATCCCATACAGAAGATACAAGACAATCTTAAGTAAAGCTGGAATAAAGACCATTGCTGGAAGGAAAGTCCAAAATCTCAAACTTGAAACAAAGTTGGTTGAATGGTGTTTGCAGGCGAAGAGTACTCAGAAAGTCCTCTCTAGAAAGATGATTCAGAGGCAAGCTATTGCCTTGCAGAAAAATTTCATCAAGAAAGGAGAAAAATCTTTGGAAAAGGTAAAATTTTCCAAAGGATGGCTTGATAAATTTGTCAAACGACATGAACAAATAAGAGAATATGTAACATCCCAAAAGAGAAAAAAGAATATGTAGCTTCATTTTCTAAATCAGTAATTTTTTAGATACGCTTTTTATTTCTAAAAATCGGTCAAAAGTAGTCATGTAACCCGGGGTTTTGGGGTTTTGGGGTTTTGGGGTTTTGGGGTTTTGGGG